CGGCCCTTATCCAGCCTTGTCGTAGTCCATACCGAGCTCCTTGCGTCGCTCGCGCTCTGCGGCGGCGGCCTGCTCGATCGCCTTCTCCTGGTCTTCGAACTCCTGGATTGGGGGTTGAGGTTAGGATTTAAGGGGGCCACCTGGGCGTGGGATTCATCAAGGGTTAAGGTGCAGTGTTTATGACAGAAGGAAACTGGGCAGAGAAGTGCAAGCGTATTAGTGCCAAGCTAGCTAAAGCTTGACGAAATAAGGGTCTGATTCAGTTTTAGGCAGCTTCGCCTTCGATCGCCTCGAGGGCTCGGTTGAGTTCAATGTTCAGGCTTGTCTTCGGTTGAGATACCATCATACTTGTGGCCCCTTCCTGGGAACACTTGTAGCGGCTACAGGAAAGAGCAGGGCCCCTCAAAAGAGCATGTCCTTTCGGGATGCAAGACTGGCATACAGAAACAGAAGTTTCTTTTGGAGGTTGGGGACGGGCTACAACATGAGAGACGAGCAACTTGGGATCCAGCATGCATACATTGTACATTATACATCATGCTACGTGACAAATGGCTTGAAGCCATGATCAAAGGCTGGAAGGCTCTGTTGCCAAACCTCCGAAACGCAACAGCGCATCAGTCAGCCCATGCAAATTTTGTGACATTCCCACTTCTACACAAAGGAAGGTGCCACAACTTGGCTGCATGGGTCATCAATCGCTGGGTTCCAAGGACGGCAAAGCTGTTGGCAATCCCCTAGACTGTCTGTTAATTATGTCTTTGTAGCTGCCACGACCCGTGGCTTCAAACAGCATGCGTGCACACCACAACAAGCCTTTGCAAGAAGCATGACAACAAGAAGTCAAGCACTCTTCCGCCAGGACGCAGCCTTCAGCACAGATCCAAAATGAGCGTTGCCAAAAACGGCAAGTACCAAAGACAGCAAGAAAGACAGAAATAAATGAAATAGGATACACACAAACAAAAAAACGAGCAAGCACAAACCGACAAACATCCTCCATGGTTGCGCCTTCGCCTTCTTCTCGAAGTATGCTGCCCCGGTTTCCTTCACAAACGCCTCAACCTGAATCTCAGGTCAATTGCCATGTGAGTTCGGGAGGAATGTGGCGCATGACTAATCGGGCTGTACAAAACATGTCTACAGCCTGTTTCAATTTTTCAGGCTCCTACAGCACTGGATTTGGTCGCACGGAGCTGTTGCAAGCAAAGCCTTGTGCAAAATCAAAGCGAAATGTTTTGGACTTTGCCGCTTTTTGCTGCTGTTTTAGGAGTGGTTGAGATCTTCATAAGGACCTTGTCTATGTTACAGGCAAGCTTGCAAATTTGAGGATCAGGTTGAGTCAGTTCGCGGGAATCTTCCTATACCAGATAGCTTGATCGAAAACGCCATAGTTATCCTCGATTGTTCAGTTGCATCCGAAACTACGGAACTCGCACTAGATGCTGTATGTAAGTTCTGTCGGCATGACAAATGCTTGAAAACATGACTTGCATGTCAGGGCGTCCTCCTGCAGCTTGTCTGAGTAAGTCTGGAAGGATGTGGGTTCCTCTGTCATGTCCGCATCCTCACGCAGTAGCTCAACATGCCACAGTGAGGATCTTTCACGAAGAGCATCTGCAGATGCCCGGGCAATGATGGCATGCTACCTTGCTGACACAGCGTTGTGGTTTGGGCTGGTTTTGACATAGCTGCTTGCTTCTACTTCTGAACCTGCGCAGGAGGAAGGTTCAACTGCATCCCTTACCGGCAGGCGTGACGGCACAAGTTCGAGGCAGCTCCAAAGCTTCCACTACCTGCTTGCAAAAGCCTCAACGGGAAAGACTTCAAAAGCGTTTAGGCCTTCGCTGCTGTAAAAATGTTAGGCTCTTCATATTCTCATGTCCTACCAAAACTCCAAACTGCCTTCCTCCCTGACCCGTCCTCAAACCAAAGGACCACTTTGTCCAAGTACGGATTCAGCTCGCCCGGATTCAGTAAGGATCCGTCCTTGCCATTCCTGGGTTTGTTATGGGCACTAAACCTCGCCTCAAGGGAGCCTCAGGCTTTCGATCTTTGTGTGCCTTAACCTGTCAAATCCTCACAAGTGTTGCAGACGTGACACCCCAGTCTTTGCATCCGAGCTGCGTCCAATCTCGGACTTGGTACACATAGGACTCTAAGGCGTTCCTTTTCTCAAGCCGTCGCCTGAGCGTCTGCAGCACCAAGGCAAGGCACGAAAAGTCTGTGCCCCGTGCGCTGTTCTCAAGAAGAACATGGCCGACCCACCCATAAACACTTTTCAAGCTGAAGAGGAGCAAGCTGAGGGAATCAATCCCCAAACCTCAACACTTCTCAAACCTCTAAACCTCTGCAGCATCCCCACCCCCAAAAGCACCAGAACCTCGACCAGTCCTGGGGCAATTGCTACTTGGATTTTCTTACTGACAGAAAGAGAATCCCATGGCAAATGAAATCTGAAACTGTGATTATTTCTGATGCATGGGGTTAAAACAGCGCCGGGGAACACCTCCTCGCTGTGCACTGCTTCCATCTCGGCCTCGTGTTCCCGAACGCGCGCAAGGTCGTCGGCCCCAAGGCCTCCTGGGACCCATGGCACTTGCTAGCCCAAGGCTATAAATCATCAAAGTCAAGTTCTTGGGGCTCTGCTCTTGGACTGAGAAATGCGTTGGGATTACAGGAAGAGATTGTAGCTAGTGCCCTTTTCAGGCTGTCAACATGAGGGGGAATCCTCTACTAGCCAACCTCGGGCTGAGCAGCTCACGCATGCGATTCCCTAACACCGCCCGGACCAACTCTCACCCAGAGGGGTAGCAAAATGATGAAACAAAATGATATGCATGATGACCAGACGTGGTACCATGGGCAGGCATAGAATATGAAACAAATGCGTAGGCCATACGCATGACAAGAAGGTGCTTCAGGATACGACCTTGATCCAGCGTAAGTAACTGTTTGTGACCTGTGCGTTTCCCCATGAATGCTTTATCCCAGCATACTCTCACCGCAAATTCTGTCAAAGAAGGCCCCCTGATTTTCAGGAATCCGAAGATGCCACCAGGTGTCCCACGCCCATGACAGCGTCCATGGCAGCAAGTGGGCGCCGCCCTGCAGCCCAGGCAGCAGCACCAGTGGCCACGCAGCCTCAGTCTCAAGACTTCAAGGTTTCAAGAAACTATAGCTCCTGTTCTGAGGGTCCGAGTATCCGTGGGCCTCATGCGGTTCTTGAAGCTTTTACTTGGGGTTTTATCCCTGTCGCCTAAAGTTTGTCCCGAGAGGATTACAGACAGCACCTCTCGAAAACAGAACAAGGTTGAAGGTATATGCTTAAGGGAGTTTAGAGTCTCAAGGCCCTTCAGAAGCACTTCTTTCCTTATTGAACGGGCTAGTTCTGTAGGCTATAGGATTGCTGATGATTTCTGATGGCCATATATAATGTTGACTTCCACTATGGATGCGAAAACAACATTGCGAGGCAAAAGCACTTACTGACACAACGGTGAAATTTCATGCGAGAACGACCATCACATAAATGCTGGTGCCAGCCAAAAAGCAACGCCGTACTCCTCAACCCTAAACCCTAAACGCTAGGCCCGTCAACCCTAAACCCCTCAACCCCAATCGTTTGGGGAAGGGCTCTTCATGGGAGCAGGCCCAGGCTTCCAGACTTAACTTGCAAGTTGTCAGTAAGGAATTAAGGAACAGAGGACCCGTTGCGGGATCCATTGCTCCATGTACTACTGACAGCAAACAATGAGTTCGAAGAACAAGCCTAGTTGCATTTCTCTATAGGCTCTGGAGTTTCCCACACGGGAAGAAACAGATCTTCTTGGAGGCTTAATCATGTCGGATCCTTGGCATCATAGGTACGAAAGCCAATGCGTACAAACCTGGATAAGGGCGCCTGACCACAACGAAGATAGCAGATTTCAGGAACAGCCTGGCCTGAACGGCGTGGTTTCAAAAAGTGTCGCTTCAGGACTTGGAGTTGGAGTTTCTGCCAAGTTTACAGCGGTGTTTGTAGGAGCCAGGGGCTTCTTTGGTCGATGCCCCTCAAAAGGCATGCACAAGGGCTCTTCGAATAAAAAACTTACATCCCTAACCCTCAACCTAACAAGCTAAACCGTGCGATGCTTCTGCCAGGCCACTGGCGCCGTCAAGCCCGAAACGAAGAGGCACAGACTCACCCACAGCGTCCTTTACCTCTGGATTGTTGCTAAGACATAGGGCCGAATCTTTGCATGAGCTACGAGAAACAATTTGTTCGGCTACATGTGAGGGACATGGGACTATATTCGGAAACAAACTAATAACCATATGAAACTACCATGAACAACCTTAATCTTCTCCGGAGGAATCCTGATGCTGACAGTAGCAGAAATACTTAGACCCAGTCCAACCTCAGTTGCAAGGGGCCGTGAGAGAGAATTTTTTGAAGTTCCGTGAGTGTACTGCATCTCATGCAGCCGTCTGCGAACTTGTTTTTCATAGGCTTCGGCTCTTCAATTTCAGTAGGGCCTGTGCCTCGCCAGGCCAAGCGTCACAAGCGTACTGTTCGAGCGTCTGAGCTAAGCAACCACCACTTTCAGCAATACAATAACACGAAATCCGTGCGGGGCGCTGCATGTCCCTCTAACCGCAGTTCACTACAGCACCGGGCACACGGAACAAACAGCACGATCCTTCAACCCAGCGCAGCTTCTAATCATCTGTCTTCACAAAGTAACAAGTTGCTTTGTCTGTTCTTTTGAAAAGGCAAGTCTGCCCAAAGACGATGCTGTCCAGGAGCCAGCTTCTGTACAACAGGAATGCGGCCGCCACCACCCACAAGCTCCACTGCCTCACGGACGACATGAAAGCATACGTCCTTGCAATCCGTAGGCTAATCCAGCTTCATCTAAAGTCCTCCAGACAAAATGATTGCCTTGCTTAAGACAAAGGGGATTGAAAATTCATCGCCTGCCTCCAGTGGGGCCACGGCTGCCGCTGCTGCCAAAACCTTCCACATGAAAGCTCTTACGACATTTGGCCAAGCTTTTACCAGTTGTTGAGCATCGAACCAGCAACGTGCCGAAACTTCAAGAACACTGGAAAACCCAAGAAAAAACACAATCTTGGGCCAACAAGTATGCAAGCCTCGGGCTATTGGACACAGGGCCTCCTTCAGCCTGTTCAGGACACCGCTGGCAGCAGCCTCAAGACAGGTTTAAGGCTCGTGGCTTCTTCAGGGGCTTGCAGACAGATTTGTCCAGAGTTAGTTGTATTCTTCGGCATTTGAGCAGCTGTGCCAGCACAGTGTACTCGGACCTTGGCGCGCATGTGCACGCGCAGCGGCACTTCAGGGAATATGCCTGTGTGTCCCTGCATCTCCCTTCAAAAGGCTCTCAATTGGAAGTTTCGCAACCCAAGGAGACCACAACCACGCCTCGAAGACAGTTCGCGTCAACGGCACGGAGATGTCAATCTCTGGGCCCTCAGGGCCCTCCGGCATGAAGGCCTCAAGACCTGGTTATGAATGGGTAGGCATGCTACAAAACACTTGGGTTCTCCATAGCTATAGGAGACTGTAGGATAGATATTGCCTGGTCATTACATGGGTTTTCAAGCTCAGGACAGTCCACAACAAGGAAAGTCCGCTCCATTCCCGCATTTCTTTGCTATTTATCATGCCTCCTGAAACAACCACTAGCTGCCAAGGGTGAGTTGCAAAGCGCTACCACCACATGAAACCTAGCAGCCTCCCCAACGTAATAACGTGTCAAAACCAGATTTCATAGTGGCACAGGAATTTCCTACCAAATCTTGCAACAGCTCACGAGATTTACGCCTATGGAAGCCCAATGCTCGCACCATCTCGCACTCTTTAGTTTGGCAGCCGTTTCGTTCGGATCCTAGAACGCTTGATTCCACAACGTTCTTTCGCAACTTGCGCAACCGATGCACACAAATAAAACCTATTTGGCCCAAAGATGCACCCCGGACTCCTCAAATTGTCTCAGAGCTACTGCTCTTGCTGTGCAGCCGGGGCACCCATCTCTGCATCTGGGAGCATGCTCAGCTGCTTCAGTGCGTGGATGGCCTGGAACAACTTGAATGTCAAAGCCCAGAAGAGTTTAGCTATCTTGAGGCTAGCTCTTTCACCGGCGTTCTGTAGCTTTGCTTTCACAAATCTTGATGCGCACACCTTTGTTGGCAAACTGGAAGGCTACTAATATTGACAACAGGCAAGCTATCTCACGTTTGCAGGAGACCTCAGCTCTGCACTCAAGGTTTTCATGATTCCTTGTACAAATTGATTGAACATAATGGAAGAAAAAGGCGTGCCTCCTTGCTGCAACGGCTCAAATGATACGATCTGTGCGCCACAAGATCTGTACGAGTACAGTCGGCTTTAAGTCAGGCAAGGCTGTTAGATGCTGTTAGCGTCTCACTTGCACTCGGTAAGGACAGAATGGGAGATGCTACCGTTTATGTCCCCCTAATCCCGAACAGCCCAAGGCAAGAAACCGGCCTTGCACATTCCCCGATTCCATCTTTTTCGAAAACGACACTGTGATATGCCAAGGGGCACCAGCGCTATAACAAGGACCCTATACTTGTAGAGTGGCTTTAGAATCCAGGCCAGTGCCGCCAAGTAGGGCCATAGAGCACATACATGGACTTCCAAATCACGCCGTCATCTTGTGGTAGTCCTGAGTAATGTAGACCCCTGAACTATACTTAGATCCTTTCTATGCCTATGTTGCTCCGAATGAGAACTAAGCCCTAAACCCGAATACTCCTCAAAAGTAGAGGGCTGTTCATGAAGGGCTTGCATCACCTGCCACTGGACCCTCAGCCCAAATCCTTGCTGGATCTTGCTGGTACCTCAGGGAGTGAACGTGGGGCCTAATGTAGGGTATCGGTATTGGATTGTATAATTTACGGATTATACTCACCCTCGGGCATCGGTGAGAAACGCAGCGCCTCATTGGCGAGGCGGACGCCAGCCTTCGTGCTAAGCTTGACCTGGCATGGGAGCTGTGAGACAGTAGATTTGCGCCAAAGGTTTGGTGCGCTGCTGGGTGCGCTAGCATGCATGTAATCTCTATGCCCTTTCTGCCCTATGGTTTGAATCAACGGCAGACGGCTTTACACTTTTGGCCAGCCAGGTTAAATGATTCAGGAAGTGTGCTCCGGTGCCACACTTTCCCTCACAAGAGATTGAACCAGCCTCACACCATCACTTGTTCAAGCCAGCCAAGGACTTGGGCATGTTGCATGACTGAACGCAAGACTGCCAGGAACTGCTGTGAACGCCTACTCGCTTCTTGCGGCTTGCAATGAGGTTGGAAGGCATTACGACAATGATGTTGTGGATGGGCCCCACACAAACGCCCGTGTACCCCCTCATCGCGGTGTGGACTGCATCACGAGCCAGCCGGGAACAATAAATGTGGTCGTTTGGCCGGATTGCACAGGAGCGGATGATGTATGAGGGGTCGATGTAGAAGGAGCGCCCTCCGCTTTTCTTCAGGTGGGAATTCACCTCATCCTTCAGGAAAGTCCCGATGTCTCCATAGATAGTGTGACCTGTTGCATCTTTCTTGCCTGTGGACACGAATTTCTGCCCTGCACCCTCTGCCACCGCAACGACCATGAAGTCCTTGCGCGCCAATGTGCTGTCTACGTGCTTCATGATCTCCTCCATCTCGACGTCCACCTCCGGGATCATAACCAAGTCAACGATGGTGGAAGCAAGGGCTGCATGCATAGCCACAAAGCCAGCATCGCGCCCCATCAACTTGATGATGCCAACGCCCTTGGCGCAACTCGTAGCCTCCACCCAGCCGTTACGGATAACCTCAGACGCCGCGGCAACTGCCGAGTCGAAGCCAAAAGTCTTGTCGAAGAAGACAATGTCGTTATCAATGGACTTGGGCACGCCCACAATGGACAAAGGCATCCCCCTCTTTTTGGCGGCCTGGTACAAAAGGTTGGCTGCAGCCTGTGTGCCATCGCCACCGACGGTGAAGAGCATGTTGATTCCCTGCTTCTCGAGCTGATCTAAAATTTTGTCAGGATCATCCATGCCACCCCGACCTGCCTTTAGAATGCTGCCTCCCTTCATGTGGATGTCGCGCACACCTTCCACAGTGAGTTGCACAGGAGGGAACTGGTCAGGCGAACTGCAACCATTGTATCCTGCCTGCATCCCGAGAATGGTCTTTACACCGTACTGGTGCCACAGGCAGTTGGTGATCTCTCGGATGATGGAGTTCAAGCCTGGGCAAAGACCACCACATGTGACGATTGCGGCTCGCACCTCATTGGGGTCGAAGAAGATGTCGCGGCAAGCATTGGCTCTGACACAGCCGTCCATAAGCTCCTTAGGGCGAGACTTCTTCTTGGAGTCGTTGAGAATGATGTGGCCCATGACAAGTTCATCAGGATTGAGGAAGTTGAAATCCGGCCAATTGACCGCAATGGGGTTCAAGAACTTGTTGACTTGCCTCTCCTTCACCAATCCTGCATGGCTGTCCTGCCAAGACGAGAGGTGGAAGGGTTTGAGATTCGCGGCTGACTTGTCATCCAGGGTAGAGTCGCCTTCCTCTGCCGAGACACGCCTGGCCGGCAAGGCAATGGAGGCACTGCCAGCAGCAAGAGCTGCAAGGCCCTGCCGGCACCACCGAGCTCCAGCTCGTGCCATGGCTCTGAGATGCCTGGGGCCTAGCCTCAATCTGTACCGAAATGGCTATGGGAAAAGGTTCGCTTGGACGCATAGCCGCATACACATTTCCGACTGGTCGAACAGCAGGTGCATCGCGAGAGCATTGGGGCTCCAACCTTGCAGTTGTGCTTCTGCTCTATCCGGGAGATGGCCTCCTTCAGGAGTGCTGTCATCATGCCTGGGCAAGGAATTTCGTGGTGCCAGTAGTCTGGAGCAGCCACCCGTCACATGCGACAGCCTGACTTCAGAGTAACTGTTGTCACAAGCATGCCGCAAACCAGTGTGTAGTTGATCAGTAGCTCCCTGACTCTCAACCGCAACCACCGCACAAGCCTCGCAATTAATGGTTTACCCGATATCAATAATGAAACGCTCTACTGGTAGTTGGGTTGCAAAGTAAGGAGAAGGGGTGGAATGCTGCTTCAGGTGGATCACCCCTCTCACTGGTAGGTCTCCAAGATCTGCGGACATAAAGGCAACATTCAACAGGGATGCTCTCAGCCTGAGTTCACTTTCATGCGTTTGCATCCTCCTACTTGCATTCTTGTGTTAATCCATGCGCGTGATTGTCATAATCCCCTACTGAAAGGTATGGCAGTGTAGACTTTGCCCAACTGATGCCAAGGCGCTCTGCACACCCAACTCCTCCTCGCTGCAGCGATACCTCCAGTTGGGAGTGGCCAGAACGTATACGGGGCCTAGTTTGGGTGATCTTTTTCCTGTCCCCCATCATGGAGGATGCTCCATTTGTTCATTGAACTCCTTGCCCGGTGCTGCATATGCCTTGAGAGAAAGCCCTCTCACACGCTGAGGCGCAGGAACTCGGCGGAGATGCCCGGTGCCAGCGGAGAGGCAGCCTCTCAGCTTTCTGGGGTTGTAAGCAAACCATCAGACAAGATTCGTGCTAGTGGTTGAAGGAAGTAGATTGGGGATTTAAGCTAGGTGCTAAGAGGAGAATCCAAGAACGCTTGATTGCCTCGTCTGGTGCGCCCTCCTTCCGAGCAAAGCGGACCTGGGCGTCAAGCTCTTCTGTTCACGGACAAAAGCCCTGCTTGACTCAGCATAACACCAGAATTGCAAGGTTGAGAGTGAAGATGTGATGCAGTATGTTGGTCCATCAAGAAGTTGACTTTGCGCGGGAGCAGGAGCTGCCGTTGCAAGGATGGGTGGGGGTCCTTGCTAGTCTTTGTCTTTGTTGTGAGTGCCGACCTGCTTGAAGCCCGTGCCAATCCTTTGTTTTACGTTGGGGCTGACCCTTTTACTGCTGCTTGTAGCAGTTCAGACGTGGGCTGCACAGGCTGGGTGTACGTACGAGACAAAAGAGAGTCTAGAGGCGTATCGTACCAAAGCTGAATGAGGAGTACAAGGCGAAAATGTTGGCAACTATTGAGGCTTCTACAGGACAGCTCTGACTTGCTACTCAGGTACTTTCGAAAACTGGCCCTCGCGTTTAAAAGCCCAGTCTAATTTCATGTAGCCATCGTTGACTGCCCCAACAAGAAAAAACATCGACAACTTTGAGGAACCCAAATCCTATGCAAACAAAGGGCGATCACAACTTAAGAAGCTCCACGTACCGGGTGCATCCTTTTCGTGTAGACAAGCCACCACTGAGACGGTTCCATGGGAGGACCCAATATCCACGAAGCCAACGGTGCGCTCCTCGCAAAGAAATTCCAGGTTGAGGGGGGTTCAGGGTTTAGAGCCTAGGGTCTAACAGCGCGGTTTTCATCTGCAAGTTTCCGTTAATGGCAAACTGAGGGACCCATGTGCAGAAACTCCAAAGCACGCACCACACAATCAATGGTCAACAAGGACATTCCAGGATAGCCGTCTTGAGAAATGCAGTTGGCTCCTCCGTTCCCTCCGGCAACAGCGAGGAACCTCTTTCAAGTGGGTCAAGCTCGCAAGGCACATGACCGAAACATTCGATGGCTGATTGACGCAAAGGGGTCAACACTACCTAAGCTAGGGCCCAGTTGCGGTAGGCCTGCTTACTCACCCCCGCCCGGCTGCGTTTTGAGCGCCCCCAGCTTTAAAGCTATCGCAGAACAGACTAAGACAACAGGGTCTCCTCATGCAATCCCCGGCCTTGGCTGTGTGCAAACGCAGCCGCTACGGCGTCAGAGTGACGAAGCAGCTGAGCCGAACTGGTGAGATCTGCAAGGTTCACCTCAAAATTGGCCACGGCAACCACATCCATAGTATTAAAGCAGGACACATTTGTGGAGGTAGCGGTAGCTGAGTAGCAGAAAGCGTGTGCGGCTTCAGCATCGAGAGTCGGGATAGGAGAGATGGTGGTAATTAGTGGGGTAGCACGGAGCTGTGCAGTCTGGGGCAGTTGTAGGAATAGCAAGCTGCAACGCAAAATGAGTCTGTTGCATTAATCATCTTCAAGCCTGGGAAGGTGCAGTACTTGTGCGTGCTAGTGGACTGCATGGGTCTGAACGTGCACACATGTCGAGTTAAGTGAACCATGCACTCCAAGTGCTTCTGGTTGGAACACAGTGCAATCGTGTTCAAGGTTTCATGGGCCGTCAGCTACTCATGTAGACGCTCAGAGAACCCTGCTCGAATCAAGCTGTGGAAGCCTATGCCACGGGGAGTCGGCTTGGAATCCATGCGACATCTTCCGTTCCGACCGAGTTGAACACTTGAGCATAATAACATCACAAGGCATGTCCGCATGGCCGGGTCACCGCGTCCTGCACAACGGCTACCTCCTGGTCGGAGAGAAAATCCGGGACTGCGATGCAGACCCTCAGCGATCGAGGTAGTTTTCAAGCACCGCCGATTGGCAAAACGTTGAATGCGTGTCGTGGAAATTTTCCTGATACTCCGTTGCTGGCAACGGGAACCCCCTGAGGAGGGCCCCTTCAAATACCATTACAAGGGAACCCAGGTTTTCTGAAAGGGTCTTAGTCTTCCCTTTTTGGGGGGAACTTTCCTTATGGGCCGCCTCCCATTCTCAGTACTCAGCCGCACGAAGCCCAAAACACCCTGCACCTTGACACGATCACCGGCAGGTGCCACATTCCTATACATCCTAGGGTCAGACCATTCTTCAAAAAGCAGAAGCGTAAGGGTCACGAAGGGCTTGCTACCAAACAAGTCCTTCTGCTATCTATTGTGGTAGGTCCCCTCCTTGCCGCAGACATTCCCCGCCATCACTGTCCATACAGAACTCTATTGGGGTGCAGGAGGCACCCCCCTTTGCGAGGTTGTGCGCAGATAAAGAGAGTTTTGATGCTTCCTGCCCTAGCCGCTAGCCCGCCATTGATCTCAGTCTTGGAAAGGAAAGCAAGTCCGACGTCTGCCCTTCAGCCCTTCAGCTAGCACTTGCACGGAGAAGTCCTCAGCTTTCAAAGACAGTGAGTTGACCAAATCCCTGCAGTCCTGGAGGGCCCCAGAGCTAGTGGCTGTGTGCCGCACGCCCTTGCACGCAATAGGGTCACTAACCGACTAAGCCGCCGACACGGCATTGGCAACAACAGCAGTCGAGCCGAGGAGCTGCTGCAGAGTGGTCCCTGGGGCAGCTGCATAGCCTCACGCGGAGAGGGCCAAAACTACTAATGAATAAAAATGCTTATGATAGGCATACGAACAAACCTTAGAACTTGCAGGTGCTGGCTGATCATGCTCAAATGATACATAAAGGTAGTATGGCGATGCCCTTTCTTGCTACAACTTAAAGCACGTCGGCTTGCCCTGTCCATGGTTGCCATTGAACGAGGAAGAAGGCCCCTAACATCTTGTACAGCAACAGGTAAGCTTTTTCCATATATTGAGAGAGGGCCCAAAGACACATGCCGTAAGTACGAGAGTTGCCACATGCTACAACCATTTACTACGCACTTGCGTGTCCGCTGCCCTGATGAGTTCCTGCATGAGCTTCGACATAGGGACCAGGCGCAAGCGTCAGGGAAACATGTGACGTGTGTTTGCTTAAGGACTTCGAACGTCAACGCTCAACATTCCAGCCCTGCTTGAATGCCACTGGCGAGGGCACCTCACCAAGTATCACTTTGCATCATGCAGCAACTATTCCTAGCACTCGTGTTGCCGCTCTCGGCCTAATTACTGCAGTTGCCAAGGCCCGCATCAGCCCTGAAAAGCTCAACAACACAGCTACCGGAGCCTCGGACCGACAGGGCCACAAGATTGAGAACACCGCCTAGGACTCAATATAATTCTCCTGCAACACCCTCCGCCCCAAATTTATTGGGACAGGCTGCTGCTGAGTGTGCGGAGGAGCACCTGGGATATGTTTGACATGGATGGATGTGTAGGGATCCTCAGGGACACATCAGGATTCTCAGTCCCTCTGCAATGTTGTGCAGGACCCGCTCCTGAAGTTGTACACTCCTTGCTACTAGACCAGTATTGATGGATAGTTTTACTCGAACTATCATGGCGAGGATTACTACGTCTCCGGTCTCAAGACCATGCCCCAAGCATCCTGCAATTCTTAACGGAATTGTGGATCTCCCATCTGATCTTGTTTTGGATCTCTGTCCTGTGGAGTATACTAGACAATATGCGGGTGGACTGACCAAACCCTCCTAGTCCCTGCGCAGCACAAACTACCATTGTGGAGATCCACTTGGGCCCTCCTAAAATCTGACTCAACTTAATAACACAGAGCCAACACCCAGACTCCGGTCCTGGATCCGGGGCAGCCCTCCACGGCTGTCATTGCTAATAGCAATACGAAGCGCAATGATAATAGCCTAGCTCCGGTAATAGTAAGTAACCGCGATAATGAAGCTCCACCCTTTTACTTCATTCGCATCTTCATGAGATTTCAACACGTTGATTGGTCTTAGTAACTTGCCTTCGCTCTGCTGGCCTTTTGCAGCTGACGAACTGCGGATCTTTTTATTCTTTTTATGAGCTTAGAGTCTAAACTCCTAGTATCCCCCCTAATAACACCTATTAATACTCCCCTATATAATCTCCTATATAACCCTCTTTAAGGACAATAGCTTATATTACCTCCAGCTATCTAGACAATTAGCTAATTGCTTCCCTCGACAAATCCATCGGCAAAACTCTAGAATCAGCCCT